TAGCATATTAATTTGGTCAAGTTGTTTATTTTAACATGCCTATTATTTTAAATCCCTTGGAACCATTTACGGTGGACATAAACAAAGAAATATAGATTAGTACTATATTGCTATAAACTTATTTGAGGGAAAGGTTATTTGGCAGAACTACGGCGCATTTTTAGCAGTGACACGAACTCAGACGTCTGACCTCAGCAATATTCTAATGTAAACAAAAGGCCATAAAGAGTATCAAATTTCAAACGCTCTCAATTGTTCAAATCGCGTTTGCAGACGAGTTTTATTACGGTTTTTAGTACTTCAAAGTGTCCTTTTTCCAATTATACTAGTCACTGTATGTAATTAGGTCCCACTTTTAAGAAATTCAGCGTAGAATATAGTAGGATTTGAAAGCCGTATTTTGACATGGCGTTCTTTGTCGCTAAATATTGTCACAAATGCTCCGCAATTGAAAACCTAAGTTAGTTTAGATGAAATTACGATAGTTTTCCGGTGCTGGGTGTGAATATCAGAAATTTTGAACAAAAACTTTTGAAATTATGTTTATTTAAATTCAGCCCATTTTTTCATTTAATTAGCCGGCGAATTTCTCCCGCGACGGTGCGAGACCAAAAAATCGCTAAAACTTTGAAACTAAATATATTTTCAAAATTCCACATAGCATTTGTTTGTTGTTAAAGTAAATGTAGTTCACGGTAAAAGTTTCGAAGAAATTTATTTTTCGAGCCCCAAGTCAGTGGGCGGTTTTTAGAGACACACGCTCTTAAGGAACGTTACGCTAACCACACTTCACTGATCTTTTCGTCATAAAAAAGTCTCAAATAAAACGGAACTTTCGAAACATATTTGGAAATTAGAAGAAAACAATCAGGATTATACCATCAAGTGGTCAATTTTAAAACACGCTATTTCGTACTCGGGGGGATCAAACCGCTGCAATTTATGTTTGGAAGAAAAATTTTGCATTTTGAAAGACATAAACGCAGACAAATTACTCAATAAAAGAAGCGAAATTTTCGACCCTTGGCTATTTTTAGTCATGATTAACGATTTAAATGTCTCTAACGAAGTGATGTGGAAATATGTAGATGACTCAAATATCTCCGAAACTGTTAAGAAAGACGAAGTCACTCCCAGAGTTCGTACGAAGCCGAAAAATTCGAGATCCAAAGCCGAAAAATTCGTGTTGCATGAGCGCAAATGTAAAGAAATGAGAATTAGTTTTACGAAATCGGAAAAGGACTTTCCACCAGTTACGATAAATAACGCTCCCGTCGAAGTTGTCCCACATGTCAAAATTCTGGGCTTGAATGTATCCGACAACTTAAAATGGAATTATTATGTTAGCGAACTCGTTAAAAAATCTTCAAAAAGATTGTACTTCCTAACTCAGTTAAAGCGCGCCAAAGTGGGTTGTTTGGAATTGGTACAATTTTTCCGAAATCCTGCATCAGATCTTTAATTGAATATGCTTGCCCAGTGTATCACGAAGGTCTCCCTACGTATGTTTCGAGAGATATCGAAACTATTCAAAGACGAGCAATGCGAATCATCTACCCAAAATCATCTTACGAAGATGCCTTATTATTATCAGGTCTAACCTCTCTATTGCTACGGCGCCAACAAGTCACCAATAAAGTGTTCCTAAATATTATGAACGATGATGCACACAAATTACACGAACTATTGCCTGCTAAAAACAATATCTCACTTAATTTGCGAAAATAGACGAAATTCATAAACCAAAGAATAAATGGTTTTCATCCATTGACTCAAAAAATGTAAAAAAGTAAAATAGTTTTCATCCATTGGCTCAAATTTAGCAAATGCAATTCCTGTGCTTAATACACCTATTGAAGCGTATATGAGCAACCACTTGTAGATAGATAGATAGATAGATAGATAGATAGATAGATAGATAGATAGAAAAACTTTATTTACCTACGCTAACCCTATCAACCGAAGCTGATTTCCATAGAGGGCTTGTGCAATAGTTGTGCTTTGTATCCGGTGACTATTAGTGAAGTTGTAGAAGAAATTAATAATTTAAATTAGGCTAAATCAGTTGGGCCTTATTCTTATCTTATTCTTATTATATATTAATGACTTTAGTAACTCAGCAACTGTTTTAGATTTTAACCTCTTTGCTGACGATTCTAATCTTTTCTATTCGCATAAAAGTCTTCAATGTTTAGAAACCAACTTGAATAATCAACTTTACAATGTTAACGAATGGCTCTGCCCTGAAATATTGTCCTGAAATATTGAAAAATCTAATTTTGTCATTTTTCATCCTCCTCAAAAGAAGACAAGTTATTCAATAAACCTCAAAATTAATAATAAAATTCTAGAAGAAAAGACTAGTATTAAATATCTATGTGTCATATTGATGGTCACCTAAATTGGAAGGATCATGTGCACGAATTGTCAAAAAAAATATCAAGAAGTGTTGGGATCTTATTAAAGCTCCGCCATTTTGTTTCTATCAAAATCCTAGTACAATTATATTATTCTATTATCTACCCTTTCCTCTCGTATGGGGTTTTGATTTGGGGGAACACATATATTTCAAACATCCAACCATTAGTAATTTTACAAAAGAAAGCTATCAGGATTATTACGTTTTCTGAATATCGGTCTCACACATCACCTCTTTTTAAGAGACTGAACTTGCTGAAACTGATTGATATTGTCTATCTTGATACATCTTTTTTTATATATCAGTTCAACAATGGCAATCTACCTAACAATTTTAATGATTTCTTCACCTCGGTTAATACTAGGCATCAATATGGAACACGTGTGGCTTCCAAATCTACTTTTTCTCTTCCCAAAATTCGTACCAACTATGGAAAATTCAATGTCAAATTTTTTCGACCAAAAACCTGGAATGATATTAACCAATCGCTTAAATCTCTCAGTAAATTACCCTTCAAACATAAATTAAAACAACAAGTAATTTCTGGTTATGATGATTAGTCTTTGCCTGTGTAAGGTAAATTGACAATTTTAGTAAATGGGTCATACATTGTTTAGTACGTATTGTTTAATGTACTTTTGTTGTAATTAGCTGAGCTTTAGTTAATTGTTTGTATTATTTATTTGTCGTTGTCGTTGTCGTTGTCGTTGTCGTTGTCGCTGTCGTTGTCGTTGTCGTTGTCGTTGTTGTAAATACGAATCGTTTGAGAAATAGTTTTATCATCAGTAATTCAATTAAGGCATAATTAACAAAAGTATTGGGCAATCTAAGTATAAACGCGATCCGTTGAGAAACTGTTTTAAACAACGAATCATTTTAGAAATAGTTTTTTACCGATTCCTAATTAAGGCATAATTTGCAATAGTATTTTCTAATTTGTACATATGTAATGCATAGTGGAATTCTTGTACATAAAATTAATTAATAATTCAAGAGAAAAATACAAAAGAAATGAATGTTTAATCAATGTTTGTAAATCGGATAAAGATTTGTCCTGATTTACATAAATTTCAACTTTGATTTTCTCGGCTTAGACAATGTATATTTTTAACATGAGCTCATAAGATGGGTCATTTTTTAAGTACGATAAAACAGTCGCATCCGATCTGTACCTGATATACAAACTCTCGCCTTCGGCTCGAGTTTGTATATTAGATACAGATCGGCTGCTCATGTTTTATCTAGTACTTATAATTGTTGGAGAACTCATTTACATAAGATGCTTTGACAGCAACAAGGGGGAATTTCGTTCTCGACCAATCAGAGCTTTTGTTTACATTTTTGCCCTAAGCCAATCAGAATGCGTAAAACGCTTCATCACATGAAATTTGTAAACAAACATATGGGGTTACTTCAGAGCTTTTCTGCAAGCGGTTTTTTTGTTTTTTGCCATGAAATTCATATATGTTGTTCTTAAAAGAATTCTCCTCAACTTCCTCGTGGCGAATTTTGATTAATTGCGTGATTGCGAAGATATGGGTCTTCAAACTTTGCCTTGCGCAAGCTTAAATACCACCCCTCGAATTTGTAGGTTCCGAACGGATTAGCGTTTTTAAAAGCCTTTCAAATCGAGGTTTGAGACGTTTTATTTTTTAAAAGATACTTTTATCTTCATATTTTCACATTAACTTATTAATATCCTGTGTAACAAGTAAACAGGACATTTCCGGGCAGGGACAAGTTGACATGTCGATTTCTTGCCAAACAGCGTGGCGATCAATATGGCGAATATCTAAATACAGGGAATTTTTAAAATTTTGTTGGTATAAATGGGATAAAGAAGTTCATCAAATATTTGGACTATGGACCTTCAAACTTATGCCAAGTATTTATTTGATTGATTAGCTCAATAACTGTTTTTTGGATCGTTTTTCGTCGATTTCGACATTTAGTCGAGCTTGGTCGACTTCAAAATAATGTGTCAACATTGCGTGTTGCACCCTGTGGACATGAATATTTTCGTTTGTTTGACAATAACACTTTTCTTCACTGTTTTTAATCCTTGAATGACAATATATTTATTGGTCTCAGAGTCCTAAACTTAAGGAAGATGGATGACTTTGGGACAGATATCAAAATTTTGTTCAGATATCAAAATTTATGGACATATATAGTCACAGAGCATAGTCATAGGACCCTCATTGTTTCTTCCTTAATCTGGCCCACTAGTCACAAATGGGGCCTGTTCTTATGACCTGGCTAGGCAGGAGACAACATTTGCCAGTATTGCCGATATACTATCCTGCTACTATCCTGGCTAAGCACAAGGTATCCGTTGCCAGAATCCCAACTATGCAAGCCAAGAAATTCACCATTTACAGTAAACATTCTATCCCACAACCAGGCAACATGAACTTGCCTTTAGGGTCCCATGCTGCCTAGCCCAGATCATATCAACAGACCCTTAGCAGATCCTGAAACTACAATTGGAACATTTTAGGTCATAATCTTGTAGAATCAACCAGGTATTGTCAGTAGTATAATATCACACTGGGCATGCAAGCTGGTCTTGCCCATTTATATGGGCTAAATATACACCTGCCCATGGTAAGATACTGCCTCGTATATTAATTTTATATATGTTTGAGATTGCATTCACATGAAACAGCCTGGTTGAATTTATTGGCCCAGCATTTGCTTGAGCAAGTTGATATCCTGCATTGGGAGTCTCACACTAATAAAGGTCATAAGCTGGCCAACCAGCTCACTCGACTAAAAATCATGTTATAATACACAATTTGGCCCAAGTAAGTAAGAAATTGATTAATATAAGCCTTCTGAAGCTGTTGTCATTAACAAATTAACCAGCATTTCACACAAATTTCTTGACAACAGTTGCCAGGTTAGCCTGGCTCCTGTGAGGCAAATGACAAACTAGCCCTGAAAAGAAAATCCAGCCATGTTTGCTGGGCTAGCATGGCCCATTTTGACAGCCCTTAACAGGGAGAGCTTATTTTTGGAAGGGAGATCTGATTTTTGGAAGGGAGGCCTATTTGTGAGGTTACTGGGGGCTTAATATTGGATTGCATTATATAATATGTGTAAAATATTCATTTGTGCACAGGTATTCTGGTAATGCACAAATTTATGGACTAAAATGTTTCAATTATAGTAGATCGGGATCTATTGGGGACCTGTTTATATGATCTAGACTATCCAGAACACATGCTTGAAGCCTAATTCATGTTGCCTGTTTGGTATACAGTGCTTATTGATCCTTATTGTATATGGTGAATTTCTTGGCTTACATATAGCCAGGATTCTGGCAATGGAAACCTCACGCTTAGCTAGGCCGATAGTAGCAGGATAGGATAGAACATACTGGCAAATGTCGTCTCCCACCTAGCCAGGTAATATGAACAGGGCCCAATTGTGACAAGTGAGCCAGATGAAGTAAAAAAACAATGAAGTTCATATACAGGTATATATCCATAAATTTTGATACCTGAACAGCAACATTGAACAAAATCATTCTGTCCCAATGTCATCCATCTTCCTTAAGTTTAGGACTCTGAGACCAATGAATATATTGTCAATCAAGGATTAAAACCAATGAAGACAAGTGTAATAACACTTGTCAAACAAACGAAAATATTCATGTCCACAGGGTGCAACATGCAATGTTGACACATTATTTTGAAGTCGACTAAGCTCGACTAAATGTCGAAATCGACGAAAAACGAGCCAAAAAACAGTTATTGAGCTAATCAATCAAATAAATACTTGGCATAAGTTTGAAGATCCATAGTCCAAATATTTGATGAGCTTCTTTATCCCATTTTACCAACAAAATTTTAAAAATTCCCTGTATTTAGATATTCGCCATATTGATCGCCACGCTGTTTGGCAAGAAATCGGCATGTCAACTTGTCCCGGCCCGGAAATGCCCTGTTTACTTGTTACACAGGATATTAATAAGTTAATGTGAAAATATAAAGATAAAAGTATCTTTTAAAAAATAAAACATCTCAAACCTCGATTTGAAAAACTTTTAAAAACGCTAATCCGTTCGGAACCTACAAATCGAGGGGTGGTATTTAAGCTTGCGCAAGGCAAAGTTTGAAGACCCATATCTTCGCAATCACGCAATTAATCAAAAATCGCCACGAGGAAGTTGAGGAGAATTCTTTTAAGAACAACATATACGAATTTCATGGCAAAAAACAAAAAAACCGCTTGCAGAAAAGCTCTGAAGTAACCCCATATGTTTGTTTACAAATTTCATGTGATGAAGAGTTTTACGCATTCTGATTGGCTTAGGGCAAAAATGTAAACAAAAGCGCTGATTGGTCGAAAACGAAATTCCCCCTTGTTTTTGACAGCCGTTTTGTGTCTTTGTTGTTTTAGTTGAACTCAGTTCAATGATTGACCCCCACTGGAGTAATATTAAGCTAAAACATCACGTGATCAAAACCCAAGAATAGTGCTATTATCTCACCTTAAAGCAAGAGGCAGGACAAGAACGAGAGACTTCTCAGCAATGTGATAATTATATACATACCGAAGTAATTCGAATACGAATTATATACGAATTACTTCGGTATGTATATAATTATCACATTGCTGAGAAGTCTTTCGTTCTTGTCCTGCCTCTTGCTTTATGTACTGTTTAATAAACGAGCAGGAGTGCTTTATTAGGTTTAAAGACACGAGCGCGCAGCGCGAGTGGCTTTAGACCTAATGGCACGACCTGCGAGTTTATTAGACGGCTTCAAAAACTCATTAATAATTCATGAAGCAATTATCCAATCTGGAGTAAGAAATTAGTCACGTGCATACGTCTTTATACAAGCTAAAGAACAATTTAACAAAAGACTATTGTTATGCAAATTATATAAAGATTTTTATATAAAGATTTTTATGTAAAGACTTTTATATAAAGATTTTTATATAAAGATTTTTATATATAGATTTGAGTTATTATGCAAACGTTTTTGAAGCCATTTAAAAAACTCGCAGGTCGTGTATTATTAGGTCTAAAGCCACTCGCGCTGCGCGCTCGTGGCTTTAAACCTAATAAAACACTCCTGCTCGTTTTTTAAATAGTTCTTCAAACACGACTACAAATTCAATAGATATACTGCCTTATTGGTATTCTCAGGGGCGTAGGAAGCGGGGGACGGGGGCACGTGCCCCCCCAAATTTTTTTAAAGGACTAAAAGTGCCCTTTTTTGTGATAAAAAGTGCCCTTTTTGTGTTGAAAAGTGCCCTTTTTTGTAAGGAAAAGTGCCCCTTTTGTAGAAGCTAATGTCGCTGTAAATACTAAATTAAAACAATAGGTGCCGTTTTTGTGTGGAAATTTACAAATTTTTTTTAAAAATTAGGTCACAAACATAAATATCGGTATGATACGACGGAAAATTTTCCTCAGGAGAAATTTCTCTCCTCCCCCCCCCCCGTCGACAACATTT